TGGTGGTAGGTGCAGGGGGGAGCTGGGTGAGTGGTGCCCAGGTGAAGCCCTACGCTGAACTGTGAACCCTGGGTGGGTTTTCCGGAGCAAGTAGGCCGCCTCCTTGGCCCCTGGTACCCTCTGTCTGGGCATTCAGCATGGCTCGACGAGCTGTCCTCAGAGGCATCCACACGCAGGCCTTGGCCCCTGGGAGAGTGGGGCACGTGCTCGGCTCTACGCAGCCACATGCGATGTGCTGGAGCTGCAGCGTCCTGATGCTGCACAGTCGGAGGGGTGGGGCAGCTTTGTTTCGCAGGGGTTGCTTTAGAGAGGGGACTTTCAGACGACAGCGGGCACAGGGGTCACCTGGAGGGCTTGCTAGCCTCAGTTGCTGGCCCTGCTGCCCCGCCTCTCATTCTGCAGGTACAACAGGAGCAGACATTTGCATTCCTTTTTTTTAAGTGTATTTATTTATTTTGAGAGAGAGAGAGAGAAAGAGCATGAACAGGGGAGGGGCCAAGGGAGGGGAAGAGAGTGAGAATCCCAAGCGGGCTCTACACTGGAGCCTGACCCGGGGCTCGAACCCACATACCGCGAAATCATGACCTGAGCTGAAACCAAGAGCCACACGCTTAACCAGCTGAGTCACCCAGGTGTTCCAAACATTTGCATTTCTTTTTTTAAATTTATTAAACATATTTCTTTAAATGTTTTTATTTTTGAGAGAGAGAGAGAGAGCGAGCGAGAGCGCACAAGCAGGGGAGGGGCAGAGAGAGAGGGAGACACAGAATCTGAAACAGGCTCCAGGCTCTGAGCTGTCAGCACAGAGCCCGATGGGGGGCTCGAACCCGTGAACCGTGAGATCATGACCTGAGCCGAAGTCAGATGCTTAACCGACTGAGCCCCCCAGGTGCCCCCCAAACATTTGCATTTCTAACCAGGTCCCAGGTGGCTGACCTTGATGCTGCTGGCCCGGGGACCAGACTCGGCAAACCACTGCCTTAGAGCCTCCCTCTGTGCATCGTAGGCTGGTGGAGCCGCAGGGGGACAACGGTCCAGGCACTGGCAATTCCAGATAGCAGAGGCACAAGCTGGCCTTGCACAAAGTCACCTGTGCACCAGGCTGTCCCCCACCTCTCGCCCACTCCTGCCGACTGCGGACAGTGGATGCAAGGGGTGGTTTCTCAATCTGCCCTTCAGACCCACCCGAAGAGAGCGCTGACCACACGGATTCGGGGGCTTCCTCTTGTTAAAACGAAAATAAAATAGGGAGCAGACCTGAAGGTCCTGAGCAGACAGGTCCAGTGAGCCCGGGTGAGCAAACCTTAATCCTGCTCATCTCATGAACAGGAAAGCTTAGGTGATTTATCGTGGATGCCTCCGATAATCAGACATGAAAAGGCTAAGATGTCTTCTCCTCCCCAAACGGTGGAAGATCCTCATGTTTAACAGCTTCCCTGGCATCTGGAAACTCCCACCGGGTAACCGCTCTCGCTGACAGGCCGCGCCCACTCACGCCGACAGGCCACGCCCTATCACGCTGACAGGCCACGCCCCCATTACGCCGACAGGCCGCGCCCACTCACGCTAACAGGCCACGCCCTATCACGCTGACAGGCCACGCCCACCACGCCTACACGCCACGCCCCACTCATGCCGACACGCCACGCCCCATCACGCTGACAGGCCACGCCCCATCACGCCGGCAGACCACGCCCACTCACGCTGACACGCCACGCCCCTGAGCTTCCTCCCCCTTTCAAATCTGAGATCTCCCCCGTAAGAGGACGGTTTGTTTTTCCCTCCATAAAGTATCCGTAGGAGTAAAGCTCTGAGTTTTGACACTTCCTACTGAAGCCGGATGCCTGGGCAGAGGCCTGATGATGTGCCCGCTCCCAGATGCCCGCCCGGGGCGGCGGGGAGGTGAGGCGAGCCGTCCGCGCCCCTTGCCTGGGGGCCTTGCTGGAAGCCCAGGGACGTGGCGCCCCCGGCTGGTCCCGGGCGCCCGGGCTGTCCGTGTTCCGTGAGATGGAGACGGGGCCCCTTCAGCCTCCAGAAACGGGGCCTCAAAAGTCTCCGGGGAGGCGCCCTCACCCGCCGCTGGTGGGAACGCAAACGGTGTGGCCTTTGCAGGAAACGGTCTAGCGACTCCTCAGCACGTCCGGCAGGGGCGGCCGCGGGACTCCGCAGTCCCTCCCCAGGGTACGTGCCCCGAAGAACGGAAAACGCCCTGCAGTGAAGGCTGGCGCGCGCGCGGCCGCAGCCGCACTATTCGCAACAGCCAGAAGGTGGAGACACCCCCCACGCCCATCCCACGAAGGGAAAAACCAGGTGGGGTCCGCGTCTCCGACGGGACCCTCTTGAGCCACAAACGGTGCTGCTCCACCGATGACCCTTGAAAAATGCTCGGGGGGAGAAGCCAGAGCCAAAAGACCGCACGTGTGATTCCACTTACGTGAAATGTCCAGAGTAGGCCAATCCACAGAGGTAGAAAGAGTGCTGGTTTCCGGGGCCGCGGACAGGGGGAAGGGGTGAGAGCTCACGGCCACAGGGTCTGTCTCCGGCAGGATGGAACTGGCCAGTGCCGACAGCCTTGCGGAACTGTGGCCGTGTCCAATGCCAGCGGATTGTGTACTTTCACAGGGTCAGTGAGGAGAATCTCCCTGGACACTCTGACCCCGTCTATCACCTGTCCGTACATCCTTCATTCACCTTCTGCCATTTTAAAATTATTTTTTTAGTAAATGTTTTTAACTTTTTAAAATGTTTTTTTATTTATTTCTGAGAGAGAGACAGCATGAGCAGGGGAGGGTCAGAGAGAGGGAGAAACAATCCGAAGCAGCTCCAGGCTCTGAGCTGTCAGCACGGAGCCCGATGTGGGGCTCGAACCCACGAACCGTGAGATCATGACCTGAGCCGAAGTCGGATGCTTAACCCACTGAGCCACTCAGGCGCCCCTTTAATAAATTTTTAAAACTTTTTTTATGTTTATTTTTGAGAGGGGAGAGAGACAGTGAGAGAATGAGTGGGGGAGAGGCAGAGAGAGAGAGAGAGAGAGAGAGAGAGAAACACCCACAGAATCCAAAGTAGTCTCCAGTCTCCCAGCTGTCGGCACAGAGCCCGACACGGGGCTCGAACTCACGAACTGTGAGATCATGACCTGAGCCGAAGTCGGATGCTTAACCCACTGAGCCACCCAGGTGCCCCTTTTTATAATTTTTTTAAACTTTATTTATTTTGAGAGACAGAGCGCACATGCACACAAGTGGGGGAGGGGCAGAGAGAGAGAGAGAGAGAGAAAGAATCCCAAGCAGGCTCTGCACTGGTGGCGGAGAGCCCAATTCAGGGCTGGAACTCACAAACCACAAGCTCAGGACCTGAACTGAGATCAGGAGTCAGACACTTAACCGATTGAGCCACCCAGGCACCTCCACCTTCTGTCCTTTAACACATCCACAGCTTTGTTGCTGGCAGCGCTGTGTGGAGCTGACCGCCCCCTTTGGGGACTGCCTTGCTGCTAGGGATGGCTTTAGTTACCCCGGTTGATGACATGTTGGTAGACACTTCTGGGAATGCACTCGCTTCTGTTAAAGGGGAGCAGACACAGCTGACATGGTCTTCCCCTCTTCTTCCTGGCCTGGAACAGAATGCAATGAGTAGGGCAGCAGCAGCCTTTTGTTGCTGTGAGGCTGAGAAATTGGAGGGGGAGGCTGAATCTCAGGCCTGACTATGTTGAGCTGTCCGATCAAAGCCAGGGCCCACCCACCTAGGGTCCTCCCATTCACCCATGCTGCCAGCACATCCTTACTGAGAACATCTTGTTGCCGATGCAGGGCATCGAACAAAACAGATAAAATTCCTGCCTACCTGGAGCTTACATTTTTGTGTCCTATGGAAAGAATAAAACACTTTTTGTTGAAGCCATTTTAATGGGAGTTTGCATTATTTATAGCCAAAATCTGCCTTTTATTTATACTGATCTTCTTCCAGGGATAGGGGTGAAGATAGATGCTCGCTGCTTTGGGAGGTCGCTCTGGCCTCGCGGCTACAAGCCCTGAGCCTGGACCGCAAGCACCTGGCTTGAGCCCGCCACTGGCCTGCGAGCTCCCCCTGGTGGGCGGGGCGCTTCGTCCGCGGCCCGCCTCCTGGCCTCGAGGATTGGTCGAAAGCTGCCTCTCCTCCAGCTGGGCCAATCATGATCATCCCCTTTGCCGGTTGGGATTGGTCCTCGCTGGGCACGTGCGCATGAGTCCTGCTGCCAGTCTTGATTGGCTCATGCGGGGCACGTGACTAACGGGCCCAGCGTCCTCTGCAGCCGCGGCGGGCGGCCGTGGCGTCTCCCTCGCCCGCCAGAGCTGTGGCGGAGGCCGCTGTCGGGCCGCGGGGCCGGAGGGCCGCCTCTCCAGACGCCGAGGGTGAGCCAGGTGAGGCAGGCTCCCCCAGACCCCCGTCGGGGCCCCTGCGCGCGATGCCGAGTCCTCGCGGCCGCCCCTGACACCCCGCGTGGCGGACGGGGAGCCGGAGGGCCGAGCCCCACCCCCCGCCCGGCCCCCCCATCCCGACCCGGGCGCGGCTCCCTTTCCCGCCACCGCAGCATCCCCGACGCAGGACCCGCGGGGCGGGCAGCTCTAGAGAGAAGGGTCCCTGGTGTCGGGGGGGGGGGGACACAGAGGGGTGAGGCAGGAGCTGCACGTCAACGGGCGGGCCGAGGGCGGGAGGCCCCGGAACCTTCCAGGACAGGGCGGCTCAGCGCAGGGGCCGCCAGGGCCCTGGGGAAGTCGGCCTCCCGTGGCGGGACTGTGAGGACCGGAAGGGAGCTGCAGGCGCTGGGGCGCAGCCACAGGGGGGCTGAGGCGGCAGCGGGGTGGGGGTGGGGGCTCTGGAAGGAGGGGCTGGCCCTGCAGGCAGGGGAGCAGCAGTGCGAGCGGTGGGCCGGGACAGGACAGGCTCCAGTGCTGTCCCGCAGCTCTTCGTGTGTGTGCGCGCGTGTCCCCGCGTGCGCCAGGTGGCCGCGGAACCGGTACGGTAGTTAACGGGCCGCCTTGACGTAGTAATACTTGCCATGAGAAGACGGGGAGATGTGAGTGGGTGATTAAAATGGGTTCTACTCTGAATCTTGTGGTTCAGGAGGCTGTGCAGACACAGGGGAAGAATATTCCAGATGCCAAGAGGAGCAGGCAGATTGGAGCCCCCTACTGAGGCGGCAAGGTGAGCAAGGAGAAGCTTGGGGCGGGGGTCACACTGCTCCGGATGATGTGGGCCTGGGACTCGAGCGCGGGTCGGTCTGAGCGCCCTGTCTGTGTTGGCCTGCGCTTCAAGCTGTATCCGGCCCTTCCGTTTTACCGCCTCCCTCCCGGCTGTGCCGCCGCACTCTCCACTTTCCCTCCTGGCTGCTGCTGCCAGAAAAAGCTGGTGACCGGAGCCCGTGTCTGGGTGGGGGCCGGGCTTTCCTGCGGTCCCGCCGGTGCTAAAGGTTTCAGGCCTTGTGGCTCCCCCAGAGCCTTGATGTCTCTGTCGGGACCTTTGTAGTCACGTTTATAAGCTCTTGCTTCAAAACGGAACCTTATTTTTAGCTTGCCCAGATGGCGGGCTCCAAGACCCGCTCGGTGCCCTTGGCTTTCTGTAAAGCTTCAAAGCTGTGGGGGCCTGTTAGACTCACTTCGAACCCGTCCTGCAGCCATGTGACTGGCTCCTTATCTTTCGTCTGCTTGGCCTTTTCTCCTCTGCCACCGAGGGTGACTATGAAGGGGAAGGAAGGGGCTGGCGGCAGGGGGCTGTGGGGCGCGGGGGCGAACACACTGGCCTCGGGGCTGGGAGCCGTCACCAGAGAGGGCTCTCTGGCTGCAGCAGAGGCAGGCTCTGGCGGGCGATGGCCACGAAGGAACAGGCTGTGAGGATTCTGGGTGGCCCAGAGCCAAGGGAGGAGGTGTTTAGTGGGAAGGCCGGGGAAGGACAGGGCCCAGGGCAGCTGTGCTCCCTTGGTGAGGACTCCCGTCTCCAGGATAGTTTGTCCCAGCCGCCTGCAGACCACGGATGAGGGCGTCTGCTTTCTCTGCGCCTCCGTTTCTTCCTCGTCTTTTCCGTACGTACCTGTGGGTTCCCGGGAGAATGTAAGCAGATGCCACGTGTCACACGTCTCTAAGCTGTGGGCCTTTGTCAGGTCTTTGAGAGAGTCTCTGATCCCTAGGTCCTGGCTTCCCTGATCCCAGTGAGGTGAGCAGTTACTTCTGAATTAAATCTCCCTGTCACACCCCTGGGGTGATTCCTCTGGAAGCCCCCCCCGCCCCTGACCTTTACCAGCCTCCTGGACCCATGGCTCTGCACAAGTGACTTTGGAGGGGCAGAAAGTGACAGATCCTGACACCACCAGCAGTTCTTGGGGCACCTGATGGGGTCCTCTTTCCCACAGAGGGACTTTGCCATGGACGACGTATGGCAAATCCTGTGTCTGCCCTCACTGTGGACCGTGGCAGGACTTGGCTTCCTCATCTGTAAAATGGGGCTCTTTGTTTCTGCTGCAGGGCTGTTAGACCCTAAGAGGGGGCAGTGCTCCGGATGGCGCCTGGCTCCCGTGCCCCGTGTACATTGACTGCTGTTTCCAGCCTCTGCTGTCTCTTGCATCCGTGCAGGGAAGTAAACTGACCTCTGTCTTTTGTTGTGCTTGCTTCCCTGGCAGTTCAAAGGCTGTGTTCTTCTGCCTTCTGGGCCCTGGGGCTTTAAGAACACATTTAAGTCCGCGTTAGCCCTTGGCAAGAAAGACTAGGAGTGGGCGGTGGCAGGAAGGCTCGATGGTGGGGGCACAGGACAGGCGGTGTGCTGCCACCACGGCGGCTGGGCCGAGCCGTCTTCGCACTCAGACCTGCTCACCCGGCGGCCCTGGAGGCCAGCCCGCCGTTTCCCTGATCCCCGCCTCCTACGGGGCCCGGGGCCTGGCTGCCCATCGGTCTTGCCTGGTGGCTGTGGCAGGTGCTGTGGCGCATGCCGTTGACTCTGGACCCGTGCACACTTCCAGCGGAGGCGGGGGCCGCACGTGGAATGGGGACCCCTAAGAAACCCTACCGTGTCTCCCAGACCACTCTCAGATGATTGGCTACATTTGTGGCCGGAAATGCAGAAGTTTGGATCGCTAGTGGGGTTTGGCTTGGTAAACGGCAGCACCAGTGAGAGTCTCCTGCAAGAAACAGGCACACCCCATGCATGTAGGTCCTTGCTCCCTCCAGACACGTGCTGGACAGAGTGCCCGGAGGTGTGGTGAGGGACACAGCTCGTGCCGCGTCCCCGCCTCTGGGCCAGCTCAGCCGTCGCCCAGTTGCACTTGGCCCTGTGGGTGGAGCAGTGGCTCCTGGCGCGCTCCCTGCGCCCGGACAACTCCTAGGATGACGCCGGCTGCTCACGTGACCTGCAGCACATAGAGCGTGGCGGCGTCAGGCCAGACGTGGTGTATTTCCTGTCATTTTTTTTTTTTTTACAAGAGAAATGGACTGCGTGCTGCCGCTTCTTTCACTTGTAAACATAGGAAAGAGTTCTGTGATGAGTGGCCTCCGTCACTAAACACAAACATTTTGTTAAATGTTTCACAAAGTGTGCCAACAGTCAACACGGCTGACTTCGGTAAGTCAACGAGGGCGGCAGGTGGGGCCCCAGGACGCCTGCCCGCGCGCCCTCTCGCCCACGGGGCCTCTCAGACATGCTCCGTGTGAAGTCCACGGAAACAGCGGAAGTCCTAGAGCAGAGAGCACTTTCAATGGAAAATTAACTGATAACACAATCTTATTTCAATTTTCTTTTTATTTTTTACTTTAAACGACTGTGTACATGGCACAGCCTTTGGATGAAGGCTCCAGAACCACGTCCAGGTCTCCTCAACATTTCATTTCTCGGATCGGTTTTACTTTACGTTGTGCATTGATACGGGCTTCTCAGTTCAGAAAACAAGGCACTATGACTATTGTATCAGCTACATTAATACAGTGAAGATAGATTTATCCTTTCGTTAAATATACAGCATTTGAATACAATATGGTTTTTATGCAGATCAGGTTCAAAACACCCAAGGCACACACTTGATTTTTTTCTTTTTTTTTTCATTTCTGTATTTATTTGAAGGCTCATATTAAAGTTTCAGAATTGCTATAAACAGAGAGTTCCAGAGTAGAAGCAGTGGACAGTTCTTGCTGTCATCTTAAACACAAAACGGTAAAGACTGTGGAATGGAGAAACACAGTACAGGAACAGTAAAGAAAGAAAGTCACTGATACAGCGCGGCTTGGAAACTGAAGTGGTCAGGTCTGCTGGAGGCCGAGGGCTGGGAAATTCCCCGCGTCCGCCCGGAACACGGCTGCCCCGGAGCGGCTGGGACCGTGCTCCCCCGGGCGCCGCAGGGCGTCCCCCTACCCGGCGTGTACACGGAGAGCGACAGGTACAGAAAAGCACTCCAGTGCCCTGCTTAGTAACGTGACTCAAAGTACGAGGGCAAGAAAAACTCTTCAGATTTTTTCCCCTTAAGAGAAACTGGTAACATTTACCTACAGGAGGTCTGGAGGAAACCACTGGAGGTGACGGGGGGAGGGGGGTGGTTAAGGTCTGGGAGAGGCCACTGGACAGCGAGGCAGGAGGCCTAGGGGAGGGTAACCTACGAGAGATTTGAGGATTAGAATTTTTCATGAACATGAAGACACAGTGGCCACTGTTCAAATGGAGAATATGCCAGGATAGTAGAAACTGTCCAAGAACTAAAGACATCAGGTTTTCACTGATGAAGCCAAAGAAGAGGTTCCGTATTTAAAACCTACTTCCCTACAGACACAGGGACGGTCCCGGTCTCCCCGGCTCAGCTCTTTGCCAAAAGACCCGAATCCTCTTACCCTGAGCCTGGAGGCCCACCAGCTCACCAAAGCATGGCTGGCTGCACGATAACGAGAGAGGCCGCCCCGTGCTGCGGCCCCAGGGCCTGGTGGGAGGAAGACTAGCAGGTGGGGGCGGCGGGGTCTGTGCTCCAAGGAGAGCTGCCTGCGACGCTGGCTCCCCCTCAGCACCACCCCCACTTCCGTCCCAAACCAGAGGACGGTCAGGCCTCGGCCGGGCTCTCACCGAGCCTGCGGACGTGCACGCCGACATGCCCTCGGCTCTGCGGGGAGAGCACTTGGGGAAGCCGAACCAAGGCGGGTGAGCTCAGCGGAAGGAAGGTTCTTGCTCTTTGATGAAACCTAGTGCCTGGTCAGTTTCTTGGAGGTAAAGTGGCGGTGTTGTCCTGCCTACGTGAGGGGACAGGCTGGCAGCTGCGTCCGCTCAGACAGCTTACCCTGTGTGCAATCAGAGCCACAACCTTAGTGCAATCGCATGTTTATTTCTCTTACAGTCGTTTTGGTCGCCATACAAGAGATTGAAGGATTAGGAGGAAGTGCAAATTACAGGAGCTCGGTTTTTGTTTCGTTTTTTTTTTTTCTTTTTTCAAAATAAAGTTTAAAAGGAATAAAAGCACAAAAGTAACAGCAACACAGAGAATGCGAACACAAGTTACACAAACTGTAGTGTGAAACAGTAGTTTCTAAAAAACAAAACAACAAAAAAAAACTTGTTAATGGGAAAAACCCGTGTTTGTGGCCCACACACGAAGTCACTGCCAGGTCACCTGGGCGATGCTTGCTTGTTCGGTAACTCGGGAATAAAAAAAAAAAATCACCATTTTACTAACTGAAGTGCCACGAATAACCCACTTGTGATGTGCAGAGTTCAGCAAATCAACAGTCACACTGAGTCATTTTCTAGTTTATGAGTCAACTTAAAATGTGCACAGACACCCTGGAGAAGGTGTCTTGGCAGGTGTACATAATTTACATCGTGAGAGATTTTGGTTTTGTGTACACAATGTCACAGAGACTAGGCATGTAAATGCAGTTTATTTAAATTACAGTAGGTAACAAAAGTTGATCTGAAAACCCGGAATAGTATTAACATGATCCTTAGAATGAGCAGTTTGGCGTTTGTCCCACCATGGAAGAGGGGATGGAATAGGGCCTGGTCCTAACATGTTCAAGGGGGGCGGGGACGGGGGGAGAACAGTGGGCGGCAATTTCAGTGAGGAACTATTGCTTTCTGGAGCAAAACCATTGACTAGGGCTAGAGACAGACTCGTCTTGGCAACACGGGTTACTCTGGAGGCCAATAGGTTCTGCGGGTCCTGTGACTTTTCTATAACGAGACAAGGC